GGAGTGAACTGATTTTGATTTTTGAAAAAAAATTTTTAGGGAATTTTGGAATGGCAAATATAAAAAATTTGCTAAAAGCAATTTAATAAAGTTTAAAATAATAATTTATGATTTATTTAATTTTAAAAACCTTTAAAAAATTACCAATTTATTTAAAAATTATTAAAAAATTATAAAAATCAATAATTATTTGAGCACAATGATTTATAAAATTATTTTATAATATTTTTCAGCATTAAAATTAAAATTTTCAAAATTATATTTATGGATTTATCATATTATTTCAATAATATATAATTAAGATACTTTAAATAAATATATTTCAAAAACTTTTGTTAAACAATTATATTAATTGAATAATAAAAAAATTTTAAATTTAAATAATATAAACAGTAAGTAATATAATTTATTTATATTTAAAAATTTTGATTAATATATAAATTATTGTATTAATAAATATAAAAAAATACAAGTATACTAATTTTTAAAAAAACTTTGGAATTTTAAATCAAAAAAAGTGAATTAATTTGCAAAATACTTCAAAACAATTTAGAAATAAATAAAAAAATAAAAAATAGTTTTGAAAATCTTAAAAAAGTTTAAAAACATATTTATAATTATTAAATTTATCTATAGATAATTTTTTATTAATAATATTTAAATCTGTAATTTTAGAAAATAGAGCAATAATACATGCAACAAATAAATATTACAACAAATTATGGTTTAGGTATATAGCAATTGTAATGAATTCTAAAAAATTATTTGATTATACAATAGATAAGAAAATATGTTATGCATAGGTAATAATTGATAATTATTTATGAAATTATAAAATATATTATATACTTATAAATATTTTTTATTAGGTTTTAATAATTTTGCAAATTGATAAGGTATTTCAAAAATATCTATTAAAATTAGTATTAATACAATGATATAATTTTTTATTTGAAAAAATATTATATAAATACAAATGCATATATACTTAATTAATGAAGATATATAATATGGTAAATATAAAAACAATTTATAATATTGTTTATATAATATTTTGTTTTGATAAAAAAAAATAAATTTATTTTTTAAAAATTTTTTAATTTTTTTTAAAGAATTTCAAAAAACTATACAAAATAATAAAATCTTAAAAAACTTTAAATATTATAAAATTTGAAATGTTATAAAAGTAGTTTATAATAATTTTCAAAATGTTTTAAAATATTATATATATATATATTTGGAATTTTTAAATATTTAATAATTTTTAAAATATTTTAAATTTAAAGTTTTTGAATTTTTAAAAAACTTTTTAAGATTTTCATTCTATATAACTTATGATGAAATTTTGTTTCACATATTTTTTATTAAATACTTTAGAAAGATAAATCAACTTAATTTTTTGTAAAATATTTGAAGTCAATCAAATATTTTATTTTATATTTACTTCAAAGATTTTCAAATTATTATATTATTAAATTTTTTGATGTTTTTGTAAAGACCTTCAAAATAGTCTCTAAAAATTTCTAAAAAATTTTTTAAAAATAAATATTTCCAGAATTTTTTTGCAAAAAATATTCCTGATAATCTATTTAAATATACATGTATAACCTTATTTATTATTATATATAAATACAATAATACTTTTAAATATATCAAAAAAAAATTATTTTAAAAATTAAAAAATTTTGCTTATAACCAAACACTAAATTTTTATTAAATAAGTAAAAAAATAAATACTATCAATAGATAATATATAATTAAAATCAATATTATATAAATTTTTAAAAAATTATTTTGATTGTTTAAAAAAATAAATGAAAAGTAACTTTTTAATTAAAAAATTCTACAATATTACAATTTGTATTTATTGTACATGTTATTTATTTATTTATTTGTGGTTAGTTTTTTTATTTATTATTATTTTTCAATTTTACAATACACTGTATATTCTGATGTTGATATTCTAGTCACGTGACTAACCAAATCCGTCGACATTGATAAAATGGAACAGAATATCAGGATACTACTAATGCTTCAGCCGACGACAAATCGTGTATTCAAATCAGCTAAAAATAGACAACTAAATCGTCGTTCAGATAGATTGATGTTTACCAAAGAATAAATTGAAACCACGTCAAATGAAAATATTCACTATAGACTATTCACTATAGACAGAAGGAAGATTTTATTATTTAATTTTTTTTTTTTTCAGTCTGGATTGGTCAATGTTCATTAGTTGGACGCCAATCTCATGGTATCTATCGGAATTAATAATGTCATTTCGGCGATGCGTTATCACATCGGAGGGAAAGTACACTTCACTAGTAATATGTATGGGGAGGAAAAGGTTATAATATAAACAAAATGAATTTCCAAAGGATAATCAACTGATATAGATAAGAAAGAAAAGAAAAAAGAAAAAACCATATATTACACGAATATGGAATGAAATGATTGAGTGATGCAAAAAATAAAGGTCCTTCATCAGTTTAAAAAAAAAATCATTTCACACCAAGGAAAATCAGGTGATGGGAAAATAAACAGAACCTGTTTTTTTTAGAATCGTTTCTAAGTAGACATTCAAATATACTGTATATACATTTTTTTTTTTGAGTAATGTAAATATGAGGCTATAATAATATATAGTAGTAGTAGTAAAGGGAAAAGAAGAAAGTTTTTTGTTTTAATAAAATTTATGCTAACGAAATAGAAGAAATGGAATTTGATGAATAAAGTATTTATACATGTATTATTATTGTGGGTTTAATAAAATTTGAACGGTTGAAAAGTGAAAACCGTGTTCGAATATTATGGAAATCGGGGAGGGGAATTTCGGAGCCTACACGCAGGAAAAAACGAGAAAGAAATCCAATCCCGAGGTCTTGTTCCACGGAAAAACTTTTCCAATGATAAATACGATTGAGGTGCTCCCTGTTCCAACCGTTCAACTTTCTAATTAGTCATTCATAATTTCATAATTTTTGAATAGTATCGTTGCACTCCTTTGCAAGTGATTTCATATTAGCCAAAGCCGTACATAAACCCTCGTAATCTGCATGAGACCTGGGGGTATACTTCTTAAGTTCTACCGTTGAAAATAAAAGAGAAGAAAAGTGTCAGTGGGAAAAAATAATAGATGAATGTCTCGTCAATAAAATTCGTATGCTTACCGTTAAGCAAAAGGCAATATCTCGGCACTCTTTGTATTGGCATAATCATATAGTCGGAAAGTCCAAGACGATTTGTTTCTTGCTTTCGTTGTGATCGCTATGGGAGAAAATAAAGGTTCAGGCACACATCTTTACTTCCTCCGATTTCCCACACCTAAAACATGACGCATTCATACCTGTATAAATTTTCTACACAACACATTCTCATTGGCCCTCTTTATTGCCATTATACTCTTCTGGTGATTTTCAGAATACCGTCGGAACACTTTGAATTCTTGTTGATGCTTTAAAAATACCTCACCAATCTTTGAATCCGGGTTTTCCCGAAAGCTCGCGTTACCTTCAAATGATTCGACCATTTTCGCGGACAGCCGTATGAGATCATCGACGTGAGCAAATATTATCGGTATGTCCGATGAGTTAACCAGCGGGCTCGGGGTTTTGGACGCTTCAATGAAGGGATTAATGAAGACCTGTGGAAGAAGAAGAATGAGTGAATGATTGATTGATTGAATGAATGAATGAATGAATGATTATGTCAAATGAAAAAAAAAAAACGCTGCGAGAAAAGAAAGACACGATGACATACCTTCTTGAGGGTTCTCATATGCATCATGTAGCTCTTTTCGGTTGAATAGATTTCATTGATGGTAAACCGTCTCATCTGCATCATCTTCAAAACATCCTCTTTCACACTGACAAATTCAAAGATGTCGAGTGGTAACTGAGGCGGGAGGGTCGGGATCCTTGGGAAACCTAGCTCGCCTACGTTACTATCATTATTCTCACCACTCCGGTGCTTTTTATTTTTCTTGCCACCAACTTTCCTGAATACACCAACTCCCTTGTTTTTTCGATCACCGGGATTCCCAACAACATGATTTAAAACTCGAATCTCGGACTCGGCTGCGATCAGTTCGTTAGTTTTGGGCGAACCAGTCTGATATGCGTAAGAGTTCCTTCGCTTCACGTCATTCGCGCTCGATCGTTTTCGTTGAAAGAGTCCTTTGATGGTCCTCACTTCAATGTGTGACCACGATCGTCGAATGCTGCTCGATGAAGACTCACTGCTTCCATCATCCAGTTCGTTACCATCACCACCACCACCGCCGCCGACCTTTTTCGGTTTTGATTCTGTTAACGTTGATATGCTGCTCCGTGAGGATGAGACGCCATTGATGCCCATGGATGTTACGTCTTTAGTTTGATTGGTCGGTGTTGGCGGCGAACTAAACGATCTTGTACTACTCTCCACCGGGTCACCTGATTCGACGCGTCGATTCCTGTTAGATTTTTCAACGGGTACCTCATCTGCTTCGATCGACGATTCAGCCTTCTGAGTATGCTTATTGTCACTTGAGTTCACCGATCTGCCAAGGTCTTGTTCCTTGGGCATGGAGGCGATAGAGGCACTATTGATGACGTAGATAGTATCATCGTCACCTTCGTCATCGGTTTCCGAAAGACTCGACAACCCGAAATTTTGAGACGGGAAGTTTTCCTTTGCATCCGGGGATGGAGTCAGGAAGGATGAGTAGGGGATCGAGTATTCTTCCAAGGCGGCGGAACAATCAACATCGTATTTTCCAGATTTCATACTTAAACTTCGACATATACGACTTATCCTCGATGATTTAAAGGAGTTTGATGAAGATCTTTTCGGTGAGGTACTGAATGTCTCGCACTGGTTAATTCCTGGTATATGAACGAAGAGGTTCGTTAGAAGGTTGTGGCAACAAGTTAAACCAAATAATGGCTCTAACAAATTTATGTGTAATAATAATTACTATAATAAATTATAATTACAACTATAATAATAATAATAATAGTAAAGAATAGTAATAGTAATAGTAATAGTAATAATAATAAAATAATAATAATAATAATGGTAAAAGCGATAATAAAATATAAATAAGAATGAAGCTTATATGCCAGTGGTAGCGATTTAAGAAAAAATCGGTAGAAAGGAATGCCGATAAAACCGTGAATGGAAAATCGAACAAAACATCAAATAACGTGAAATGAACAACCTATCAGAATAACTTTATCGAACTTTGAGTTTACGAAAGTGAGATGTGCGAAGGAGGGAAGGAGGGAAGGAGGATGTAAGAGACAATGGGGAAAATTAAGGGAAAAAAGAATCAGGGGGAAGGGGGGAGGGGGGGGGGGGGAGGATCAAAAAAGGTGTGAAGAGTATTAGACAAGAATCAACGAATCCGAGAAGACTTGGAATGGAAAGGTCAGGATGGAACGATGATGGTGGTGGTGGTCAAAGAAAAACTAGAACAAGCGATAGTGTGCGTCCGGTGGTGAGGGTCGTATAATAACAATACAATTGGTTGTATTGTACGACTGTTACCTGTTACCACACGGAGTTATTACTCTATCTCTTTTTGGGATACGTTTGTTTGTTGCTTTTTGATTTACATACACACACACGCAAACACGCGAAAGAAACAGACCCTCTCGTGAAGGGTTCTCTGTCATATGAAGGGTATATGTATGAGCGTTAACTAGGATGGGCGACCAAATTAAGAAGTCGAGTGTCGTAAGTTAACGGTAACGGTGTAAGAATGTGTTTGCTTAAATTACATTTAAATATTTGGTATGATGCGTGGAAGGGCGGGTATGAGATGAAAGTATGATATGATGGCGTGGATAGTGTGTGTGCGTATGTGCCGTGAATAAAGGGGGGGGTTGACGGGTTATAAAAAACAAAACCGTGGTAGATTTAAATTACAAATCTAAATCTACTGTAAAAGGAATAAGGGCCGTCTTAATTTTTTTTAAAAAAAAAATATAATAATAATCCATGTTTGTGTTCAATGGGATGTGGCTGAAATCATTGCGTATCGAGTATGTAAATGGGGAGCAATTTTTTTAGCTCCATGTGTTTGGTGGTGATCCGGGTGACGGAAAATGACGAAAAATAATAAAGGCAAAAAAAAAAAAAAAAGCGATAATAATAATAATGATGTGATGATAATGAAGATAATATATAAATTAATTAAAATTTAGGCGAAAAAAGAATGATAGTAACACACAAAATCCGGTTATTCGGGTTGTTTTTATAGAAGGTGATAGATGTCACATTAATCTATCCAACTAGTTAGGCTATCGGGATAGCCCATATAATTCATTGATAATAAATGAAGTGCGAAGGAGTTTGATGTATGGAAGGAAAAGTAGGTTGATACGGGGATCTATACTATGGATTCATCGTCAAATCATTTATCAGCAGAGATGGTGAATAGTTAATTAACCGTTAAGATAAAAAAAAAGTCAAATTACATTGGAATCAAAGTTGATTGTGCGCGCGTGTATGTGTATGGTGTGTGATTGTGGTTGCAATTAAAAGGGGGTAAATAAAGATCACAATAAAAGAAAAGAAGGAAGGAAGGAAGGAAGGAAAGAAAGAAAGGAAAGAAAGAAAGGAAAGAAAGAAAGAAAGGAAGGAAGGAAAGAAGAAGGAAAGAAAAAAAAAGAAGGAAAGGAAAGAAGAAGGAAAGAAAAAAAAAAAGAAGGAAAGAAGGGAGGGAGAAAGAAAAGAGGCTTGTGGTGGAAGAAGAACAACAAATCGTACTCACCGTTATCAATTGACTTACCATCATCACCGTTGTTGTGCCAAGGATCAAGAACCGATAGAGGAACACGACCGTTGTCAGTCATGATGTCTCTCTCGTCAACCGATTCGGTGGATAGTCGTGGGAAGCACAGGGACTCCTGAGAATGTGAAGTCAATGATGGCGATTCGCTACTTTCACTATCCACCGGAGATGAGGTTTGCTCAAATAGGAACGAAGAATAATGAAGAAACGAAGCGAAATTGAAGTCTTCCACAAACAACTCCTCTATCGGTTCGGGTTTACTGTCGATCACGGTGCGAACTGCAGATAGCTTGGTTCTAAATTTTCTGGTCGACGTTGATATTATCGACTTTTAATAAAGAAAAAAAAAGATTAATATGGAAGTGCGTTTGGTAAGTTTGTTTTGATGGTGATTGTTATTGTTTTTTGTTTTCCATGGGAAGGTGGTACTAATTTCAAAGGATAACCGAAAGGTGAGAAGTGTCAGTCTATCTATTTTTCTATTAGCTTATCATGTGCAATATAACTATTTTCTATTATTATCATTATTATTATTGTACACTAGTGTGATTGCCTTTCGGAGGTTGTTTTTTCGAAACTGTAAATTACAATAATGTGATACCCTTCTTTAACAGACATGATAAATAAATAAGAGTAATAACCGAAGGGGATATTGTGTATGCGTGTGTATGTATGCGTGCGTATGATACGTTGGTGAGGGAAACGTTCGAGGAAAATAACACACATGAAAGCAGACAGGAAAATGCGCTAATTGGTCAGAGGCGGAAATTGTTGTAGAGGGTAAGTACAAAAATGATTAGTTTACCTTGTCGTCAAACAAGAGATTTTCTGCATCATCGTCATCGAGGCTTAGGAATATCTTGTGATGTCGATAGGACGATTTCAAATCTGCGATATCTCCGTCGTCGAGTTCAATGATCATTTCATCGATTGCTGTCATTGTTTGGTCAGTGATTGAGTTGTCGAATGGAGAAGTTTCTTCCTCCCGTATCGCACAATCGTCATTGGCTCGGGCTATCGTGAATAGCTTCACCCTTTTATTGGTGTTGTGGTCGTGGTCGGTATTTGCGTTTTTGGCTTGTCTCTCTTTTCGGTCGCCTTCACTTTTTATTTTGTTGAAAAAGAAAAAAAAAATTTAAAGCAGGCAAGCAAGCAAGCAAAATTAAGATTATCGTTTATATCGTTGTTGTGGATAAAATAATAGCATGCAAACTTAAAATTGCATTGATGATGATAAGGCACAACATACATTTATGTAAATTAGAATATGATTACATACATGCGTTGTGAACATCTCAATAATAGGAATGTGATCCCAAGGAAAAATAATAATCGATATGTAAGTTAAAATACGTACACGTTTTCAATATGTTCCATCGTTTCTGTGTCACCTGCTATTATGAGGAGAGACGAATGAGTTGAGGACTGAGTTGGCGGCTGAGTTCTTGGAATCAACGTCACGGTTTCCTCCGTCACCGGAGGCGAGCAAGAGACGTTGGTCTTTGTGTTGACGGCGGCAATCGTGTGCCGTCGTTGGTGCGGGCTGCTATTGACCTTAGGTTGTCGCCCCTTACCGGTAACCATTGGTCTTGATTTCCTGGAGGCAACGTTGATTGGTCTCCTCACTGCGGTGATCGGTTTCTTGGGGACGACCAAGCATTTGTCGTCTACAGACCTCTTTCCATTGGTGTTTACTTTATCATTCCTCGAACGATTTGGCATCGAAGTGACAACGACCTTTGGAGTTCTCGAGGTTTTCGTGGTAGCCCGTGAAGGATCTGAAGTAGTAGACGTTTGAATTTTGGGCGTGATCCTGGTATCGGGTGAGATTTTCACATCAGACGATCGAGTCACACTCGTGTCAGGTAAAGTCTTGGATCTTGTCCTTTGGGGAATTTTCGTCTGCTTCTTCACACTCTCGAAGGTGGGAAGGACGATTGGGGGAACGGTCGACGCCTCGGCAGTTCCCTGCATTGGTAACTGCAACGAATTGGCGAATTATGGTATTATTACTGTACTATTTTCTTTTTGTGTGAGTGTGTGTGTATAAAATATTAAAGGTTGATTGTATCATAAAAAGACAACAAGCATCAAGTCAGGAAGGGCCGATTAGAAAGTCCAGGTGTGCGCCTATGGCTAATTACGGGAAGTGCGGAAGTCGATATTGTAAAATATTATGTACTCGTATTAGAAAATAAGGTATAGCGACAGGTGTGTGCATAAGTATAATAAGTATGTGTACGCACTTTTACGGATACATGCAATGAAGATAATTTATTTCGAATAAGGTATTTTTTATTTATAGCACACAAAGTAGACCGTATATATATTGTATGTACCGTATAATACGGTGACTATGCGCGAAAAAATTCCAGTTGGTCGTTTCTAAGAGATAAAAGGAAATTGAATGAGTTAAAGAAATAGAGGTCACGTAAACATAAAATGTTTCCTATGTATCATTGTATGTATGCGTGTGCTGCATGACAGTCGAACATTCCATTGTTGTTGCGGTTCTCGAATCGCGTGATGATAGGTTCCGATGAGAAATACACCGGATCTGGTCGTGCGAAATTCTTACCTGCGAGAAGAATGAGAATCCCTTGGGGGAAAGGATTAGAATGATGTGCACGTGGAGACGATTACAATATACGCTCGAGTGAATGTAAGATGGAAAAGGGATAAACGTAAAACGAGGGATATATTGTGTGTATGAGAGTGCGATAGGTTAAAGTTGTACGCCAAAAGAAAAAATAATGGAATGGATGCGCCGAAAGTGGTTTGGTGGTAATAATTAATTAGGTGATTAATTACGTTGGAATTAGGAAAAGTGCAAAAGTAGAACGAATTCTTTCATATAATGTATATATATATATATATACGTAAATATTATATACACGTATATACAAAGATATGCGTGTACAATATAAATTGCATGTTAATTTATGTTGAGTACGAGATGTTGCTGCAGTGTATTCCTTCGTCTTTATTTGCGCACGTAAATGTACGTGCCTAAGGTAACGTACGATTGAAAATTTGATATAAGCACACAAACAAATCAGCGACAATTTCGCAACAACGTTAATGCTAATCTATTAAAGGGACTACACACCCTCTTCATTCAGGCAGTGCACCGTATTATGTATGTACCGTGTGTATTACGATGCTTCCGGACGTCATCTACATGTCAAGAACGAACCCGTATCTGGCACATCATCCACAATAATAAAAGCTCATCACTATTATTTGTGCAAAGAAGTTGTGTCATATGAGTAATGATTTTTTTGTAACGTGCTAAAAAAAGGTTTGCGCTCACCACTCAGAACGGACTTTCGACACTCGGGAATTACTGTGCTTCGGAAGTTTATTATCATCATGCATCCGGAAATTACATGTGGGAGTCCGTTGCGGGAGACGTGAGAGATATGATTAACTACTTGTTTTTTTTCTCATCGTTCTTTGGTGCGCCAAATAACGATAAACCTTTCGAGGATGTCCATCGCCGGGAATGGTAACGTAGTACCTAAAATACAAGATTGCAAGATTTCGGTCATTGAGCAACCAATTTCCGATTTCCGATTGTTCCGATTAACAAAGAAAAAAAAAAAGTATCACGGAAGAAATACCTTCATTGTCCTTCTTGTCCTAAATCCTCATATATTCTTGTTTTTACAATTCCCTAGCACACACGCTGCATGTACATTCCGTATAAGAGCTATGTATGCATGAGGCATCATGATCTCATAAGCCACGTAAAAACATCATAAGACTCATTGAGCGAGATGGACGCGCGTGAAAATTGCCTGACGGGATTTGGCCAAAACAAGGCCGAGACAACGTGCGCCATTGAAATAGAGGGTACATTACGCACTTGAACATAATAATAACATTTCCCTTTAGATCGAGTTGCACGGCCGCAATGTCTAAAAATAACTCCCGCTAACCTTTACAAGTGACATTGTGCACGTAAATGTAGCCTCAAGCGGTTAGTCATTTTTATTGTTTTTTTTAAAGATATGGCCTAAAGTCAATTTGTGTGACATTCCACAATTATTCCACCTTTCCATACCCGAGCCCTGCTTCTCAGTTGCGTTTAAGAAACTTGTGCGCATACATGCATCTACATCTGCACCTGCATCCCACCTATCGTGACACCATATACTTCTGCACATCAATCTATCAATCTGATCAAGTGCGTGCGCCCGCCTTCCCGAAAACACCGTCGACATATAAAACCCTCACTTGCCCACTTACGTACTTTTGCGTAATGGTGGATGAGTGGAAATTAATTAAATCAATGATGCTTATACGTACGTGAAACGCAAATAAGAATAAGAATGAACCGTAAAATTACGACACAATATTCCATATCAAATAAATTATTGGATCAAATTAATATGCTGTAATTAATACTTTTTGAATTAATACTGATGACTATAAAAACATACTTAAAATTATTATTATTATTATTGTTATTGTTATTATTGTTATTATTTGATCTAAACCCGAAATCCATGGTTCCCAGGAGGTCACCATGCAGATCCATCCGTCCGTGTGTATTGAAAGAGAGGTGTGGCAGTTAGCATCATATGACGTGTTGGATCAAGTCTCAAAGATCGATGAACTCCCGGTACGCCCGAAACGTTGTTTATGGTATCACTCTCTTCTGTCAATTGATGGAATGTCGGTAACGGTAACGTGACGGCATCAGCTTATCGTGTGCAAGATCTTTACCCGGTTGATGACGCCCTCATGCATAAATTATGATAAAGTGTGTCGTCTATCCATTTCACACGACGTAAGGTTAAATGATATATGCTTTGGCGAAGCAATAACAATTTGCCTTAATTAGTTAAACATTATGGTGAGTGGTAATAACGTTTAATTACCTTTTCAATGCTTATGCCGTTAGCCTGGAGGTTATCGTATGTGCGTGTGTATGTGTCTGTGTGACCACATCGAGGGTCACTTGTATGTTCATGACGCAAAACAAAGATGTCATATTCGGTGTGTACGTGCAAATATCAAAAAATAATAATAAATGCACATTCCTCTTAAAAGCTTTTATGACGTACTGTACATACAGCATAATGGCATCGATCACTCATTATTAGACCATTATTTACAGACTGGTCGAACCCCGGATTGCATTCAACTTGAATTTTCTACATTTATTCGATCGATCAGAATTGGCCTAGCGTAAACTCCGTTTTGAAGGGTCCTTGTTGCCTGGTCACAATAATGCTCGGCATGTGACCTTCCGCATCCGTGAATTTGGAATTAGTATTATTACCTATTATCACTCTCTCATCTAATAATGATCGTCGATCGATCACGATAGCATAGCATCTTATTTCTTATTTACGCCTTCCATCTAACCCACAAGAAGTGGCACAAAAAGGTTAGTTCTTGTCTCGTTATCTTGTCATGTGGATGGATGGCACCAATAATGATTGTTTTTTCTTCACGCTCAGTGAATGGCTTGCAGGAAAATGGTGAATTGTCCGTCCAAACACGTGTCCAAAAACATGTAAACGGACAAAATGACTAGAAGGTTCGAATAATGCGCATGATTTCTTCTGTCCGCCCGCCCCTTGCTCATTTTTTTAACAACCGTGACACCACGCACGTATCAATCAAATTCCGTTTATCATTATCTGAAGCTACTTTCGGTAGTGATTGACAATGCGCATTTTTTCCTACGCACCAACGGATGGATTTCGTATATACCATAGTTTGTTACTTGATTACTCAGCATGAAATATGAATGCAATTGTTTCCCTCGTCCACTTCTGCGAGGTTGATGGACCAAGCGTAATATTCTGTACCCAAGCCTTTCACAAGAAAGTGGTGGAAGACTACGCTGACGGTCTCTCCGTGAGCAGCGGAGAAATTTTTCCTGATCGACCTCTCAACGAAAGTCCCAGAGAAAATGGGATTCAGGCGAATAGAAAGGAGCCTTCGAACATTGGCAGGCCTGCGCCTGCCTCTTGTGCATCGTGTGCATTCGTTTTACCTCCAATGAATACGTCCGGTGACGCAAAAGTACCGAGCGCATATGAAATAAAGGGTTTCAGAACGGACGACGACGAAAACCCAATGGTCACTTATATTGGCTCCAGGTATCCGCAACACTCTCAATTGTATGCTGCGGTGAGACAAGCATGTGTGAGAAGGTGCCTTGATTCATTCCTCCCCCCTTTTTTTTTTGTGTGTGTGTGAATTATGGATGATTCATCATCATTCGATTCTTTTTCTTTAAATTTTGGAAAATCTCTCGAATTAGTTTGAGCTGCGAGTTCTGTTGTCAGGGAAGGGAAGGTCCCGTCTTGTTCGGAGATGACAAAGACGGATATGTGCTCAGCTACATGTTTAAGATCAAGGACAATAATGCGAGGGGGTTTCAACGATGGTACAGCTTTATCTTTTTAATGACGGATCGCGTCTACCTAGTTGCGTCGTGGCCGTTTCTCGTCAGGTAGCCAGAATTAACCTTGGTGTTTGACCTTTCGCAAATAAAGTTTGCTAAAATAATCTTACCATCGGGTCAAATTAAAATCCTAGTAAATTTCGTACCCTCGCGACGAGTTTGCAGTCAAGAGCGAATCAAGTTTTTGAGAAAGAAAATGCGGCACGCGAGAGTAGACAAGATGACTCATTTCTATCCCGTTCTGGTCCAATTTCGCCAACATCTCCAGGTCTTGAATCCTTCTTTCTAAATGGTGACGTATCATGATATGACATCAACCTGCCTGTAACACAAATCTTTTTTTATTAAAAGACCTATTTCTCAGACGAAGATCGAAGCAACCTTTGAGATCCCTGGTGGACCTGCTGAAAACAAAAGTGTGTATCCGTCTGCTTTGAAATTTCGATAGTTCCCCATTTTTTTTGCTCTAATCTCGTGAATCCACAATTATGCTTGCAAAAAACCCAGGACTTTTATGTTCTGCTCCACGCTAATTTTAGTTGGATACTGAAGGCCTGCGGGAGACGTCTACAGGAGAGGCACTTGAATGATCAAAAATTGGTGATTGTTGGAAATATTGGTAACGTTGTCTGCTTGCTCGAATGTTGCATGTGATTTAATTTCAGTTTATGTCACTGCTAGTTTCCAGATTCTTGCGCCTTTTCGCAAAAAACAAAGTTGCTCCTTGACCCGATCTATTGTTATGATGCCAAAGGAACGAATTCAAACTCTTCATCCTGCTCGACCGACGAATTTGACACCAGAATCGATCACATAAAAGATCTGTACGATCTGCTAGGGGTTCAAACATTCAGGAAATTGGTTTTAAACTTCGCTCGAGGTAACCAAATGATCATAAGAAGCTCGGAGCCTACCTTCGTCAAATCCGTCGTTACTATACTTAAGGTACACACACACAAATATTATATTGCTATTTTTTTTTTAGTTTTTTTTTAACAACCATTTTTTTTCCGGATAGGATTTGATGCCGAGTGAATATTGCGAAGTACTTGAAGATGCGAACGAATACCAGCCCTTGACCGAATGCAACATACTGGGTCTCGATGAAACAATAAAAATACCAGATGAGATTGACAAATCAACCATCTGTCTGTTAGATATCCTTTCGATCCATTTGTGTCACACTATCTTCTCTTGTGTATACCTCATCATATGTTTCTTTAACTAATTGCACACATATACTGGCGAGCGCAACAAAGTTTGATCTAAAATTTGGCGTGGAAGAAAGTGATGTGGGGATCAACGACATGGATAATTTATACATCAATCAATTGTCGGGAATACTAAAACTGAACTTGCAAATCGAATTCATTAGCATAAGACTATTGATATTTAGGGAACAATGGTCAAGGTATGATGCCTTTACGATCGGCAGTTAGCCTTCAAAGAAATCACGCGTGCTAACCACATTTCGTTTTCAGCAAAGCCAAGCAATATCGCAGATTCATTATGGGTGGTAACGAAAATTGCAATCTGGACAAAGAAAGGGAAATAGCAAAAGCATTGGACATTAACGAAATTGATTTACCCATAATTAGATTTCTATCAGGTTACTCCAAAATAAGGTAGTCGAGATTGGTAGGTTTATGATCGCTAATCAACAATGTGGATGTTTTTTTTTAATACTCGAGGGATTCTTAAATTAATTTTAATAGAATTAAATAGACTATTACGAAAAATTTTAAAATAGAATATCGAACGAAGTGAATAATGCACAAAGGAGTAGGTCTTGCAACTCATATTCATCTTGTTTCGAAAAAAAAAGTGAGTTCGGGTTTTTCTTAAAACCTTAATATGAGAGGAATTGATGGAAAAGGAAATGAGAATCTTTGTATAAAAGAGCTCAGCTTTTCCTGTCCCCTTCTAACAAAATTTCTTTCCTGTATTATACAAACAATAGTTTATTAACAAACAAAATAATAATATATTTCATAATAAATGTGTTGCATTTTGAAAAAACATAAATAAAATCCATTTCATAATAAATGTGTTGCTTTTTTGAAAAAATGTAATTCATAAATCCACATACTTTTTATGTTTTGAAAAAATTATTTGTAAAATTATAAAATTTAAAAAAATCACTAAATATTTTTTTTGTTAATATATTTTATTATTTTTTAAAAAAAAAGAATATTATACTTCTGATTTTTTTAAGATATTAAATATATTTTTTTAATGACTGGCATACATTTTGTTTATTGAATATTGTATTGAGCTCTTACATAATTGTAGTATAGAATATGGCTCTATCTATTTTCTAAATTATCTAAAATAGAAATGACTATCTACTGGTTAACTTGTTGCCCTTCATGCCTCATATATTATTAATGCCAAAGTTCTAATAGCATATATAGAAAATCAACTTGCCAAAATATATGTCTTTAAGTTTTCATTTATTATCCAATGAACAGAAACTTAAAACCATCTGAACAAAATCAACTACTGATTAGTTATATCTATTTGGTTCTAACTAGATCTATTAAAATTTAAAAAGTAAAAAATAGAAGTAAATATGTGTGTTTACATGTGGATATCTATATTAATCTGCAAAAAAATTCTTTTAAAACTTGCAATGTATATTATATGAAATTACAAAAGAAAACAAAACTATTGTATTATTTTAAAAAAATATATTTTATATACTATTGTAATTTCTATATAAGTTCATGTTCAATCCAAACTCTTTACATCTTTTTGATAATCTTTATCTAGTCTGAAAAATCTCTAATTAGAATTAATCATCTGTTTCTTATTTTCAAATAGGATATCACTGTTGCTATTAAGGATCCTAACGATTCTATTTGATTCTGTATTCGATTCTCAAGTTTATATTAAATTTAATAGGTGGGGTATACCCCACCATCATTTTTAATAGTATTTTGAACCTCATGCGATTCTGTTCAATTCTATTCGATTCCAATTTTCAGAACCATAGTTGCTATTCATTATAGTCAAATAAAATTTAGTTACAAAATATTTAATCTTATATAAATAAAATATTGAATATTGTGTTATAAGTAAAGTTTATAAGAAAAGTATAAAGAGTATTAATCTTTATTCATATTTATGATTATATACTATATATTGCTATATCAACATTGTTATTATATTGTGTTAGCTTGTATTTTTTAGTTGTATAAGAAATATTACTTGATCTTTTGTTATTAAAAAGTTAAATCAAATCCAATAGTACTTTTAGTTTGCTATTTAAAATAACTTGTTTAAAAATAAAAAAAGTTGTTTTTGATCTTATAGCTTCTTTATTAATAAGAATTATATTTTTAAAGAAAGTATAATGTAATATTACTAATTAGTATATTTGTGAATTCTTTAGCAAAAGTCTTTTTTCAAAAGAAAAAAAACTTTCTAAAAAAGAAATTTTCAAGAAATGTATAATAAATAAAAAAAAGTTTTTTAAATAATACTAAATAGATATAAATAGACCTGTGGGTCCATAGTGTAGTGGTTAACACTCCACAGGTCAGATCACAAGATATCAGTTCAACCCCAGATGAAGGTGGTTGAACCGAATTAAAAATAGTATCTGGGGCCATAACCAGTTAAGCCCTGTTTCTCATAAGAAGTTATTCGCACGCTGATCCAGTAGGACGTTGGGATTGTGATCCCCAGAAAAGGTGTCGTGGTGTGACAATCGTCCAGTTGGCATTACGATGATTGCCAGAAGTTGCAAGGTGTATGAGGTGTCCACCTTCGATAAATAGGTTTGGTGATCCTTCCCC